CAGCACATCTGCCTGTGACGCATCAGGACTTGGTCCAGGAGAGCCCTGCAGCCTCCCTGCAAGGATTTCCCTGCCTGGCCCCAAAAGTCACAGGAACGAGGATGTGGTCAGCCAGGCTGACAGCGATCCTGCTTCTGCTGCCACAGCTGCAGGTTCCCTCACAGATGGCTTTTACCCATGCAAGGGGAAGGACTCTGGATGCAAAACCACCCTCCACATCTACTCACAGACCAGCTTCCAACTTGATCTGCACAGAAAAGCGCTTTTCTCCACCGAATGAGGGCGTTCCACTCCAAACGTGCAACTACACACAGTCAATCCTTGCTTTAAGCAGCTAACGCTCCCAGTCCCACCCATACGTGCAGTTTTTGTGGTATTCAGTATATTTCCCAGCATGCTTTCTCCTTTTTTGCTTCCTCCTGTATACATGCACACTTGAGCACAGACTTCCAATTGCCCAATCCTTCTCCTTTAGCCATAGCTAGCTACTCAATCAAAAACACAGGATTTCTAACCAGGCATTCACACTGCTTTTGGAGGGAGCAAGCAGATCCCCTTTGAGCTTTTTTTTAACTCTACGTGGTTATATACTTTTTTTTTTTTTTTAAATAAGAAAACCAAGGTTTTGCGGCAAAAGTCAGCATGAAGCTATGGAAGCTTCCTCAAGCAATTGCCAAGGCTCTTCTTCAAACCATTTTAATCTGCTTGTCAGATGTAAAGACAAAGCTACAGCCCTGCTAACAAACAAATCACCCTCGAAATCCCTCTGTGCACACTCGAGCAGCCTATACGCAGAGCAGGCTACCCTCACAACACTGCCACACATCATAAATACCAGTAACACCCGTTTTATAGAAACTGTATTAGCCATAAATAGCAGTAACACCCATTTTATGTAAACTGCGTTAGCTGTTCTTCAGTGAGGGTCGCAGCTGATGATTCATCTTCAGGCCTGTCCAAAGCGCACGACAGCCTGAGTTAAGGCAGCAAGTCTTCATCTCACTGTTGGGGTGGGAAACGAGGATCCATTAGGATTTCAACCACCAGCCACGCTGTGCTTGGTCAGGAGCTATGTCAAGGCACACGGAGTGGGAGACAGAGGAGAAATAAATAGCAGGCTGGGAAGCGGAACTGCTAACCAGACTGGAAATTTTCATAGAGGACGCAAATTTGCTTAAAGACAATAGCTTTTAATAAACTAGCTGGAATGAATGAGGGGATAAAAGCGATCAAGTTTTTCACCACAGAGTCAGATTTCAGATAAAAGGAGAGGCTTCAGAAATGAGTAGAGCCTGAAAAGAGTAACTTTTATTCCTAATTTAAAATACAACCTGTTATATTATCCCAGGGAAAAGGATGCGGCCAGCTACAGGGCAAATAGCAAGGGGAGACCCAATGTAACTCCAGAAAAGACAAGGCAATGTGGAGGTGGGACCGCTAAGAGGCTGTGTGCAGGGAAAATCACTGCAAACCCAGCACCTCCATCACCGAACAGCCAAACTGTACTCACAGGAGTACCTGTTGAATGAATTATGCTCTGGCCTTATTCAACTATTTTCCCTCTTGCTTTTTCTGTCTCTCAGCAGGGACCATTTACAAAAGGGAAACAGCTGCCGAGTAATAAAATCCAAATGCGTTTCATAACGTAGCAGCAGGCTGGGGTTTGGGAGAGGATTTTTTGCAAAGCCTTATACACGGCCAATGTACAGCAAAACAAACTGAAAAATACCTAACAGTTGATTAGCACCCAAGAGGGTGATGATCTCGTCACCCAGGACCAGTGAGTTGGAGCAGGAATCATGGACAAAGAGATGCAGAACATGGATGCAGAAGCATACAGCTCTTTTGGGGGAGGGAAGGAAAAAATACCCACAGTCAAATCTCTCCTGTAGCATCTTGGTAGCACACGCCAGCCCCACTAAAAATATGGTCACATTTGAAGGCACGCTGTGATTAAAGGAAACAAACAGGAATATGAGGGCGGGAAGTTTTACCTTTTCCATTAAAGAACAGTAAGCACGGCCGTATCTGAAAAAAACCTACACAACTACTACTTGCACTATGGAGGTGATTTCTCCTGGTGACAGACGAGGCTGAGAAAGCTACTCCAAAACGACCTCCAAGATCAGTCTAAACACACGTTTTCCAGGTGCATCTCTTGGATTACCATAAACACAATGCAGTGAGACAGAGAGCATTGCCACACAGATAACTAACACAATCCTCTGCTAGAGGATTTAAACCAAAGGAAAAAAAAATAATTTAAAAAGAGTGAGAGAAAAGCAGCATTAATCTTACAAGAGACAAAATCTGAGACAACACACCACCACAATGGTCGCCACCCTTATACCTTCTCCAGCCGCAGGGAAACCTCTCTCGCCCCAAAAATGAAGCCCACGGTGACAAGGTTTGGGTACTGCTCAGAAATGAGGTCCTGCTCCTCACTCAGCAGGATGCCTGCAATAGGTTTTTGAGGCTGTGAAACACAGCACTTGGAGTGGCAGCAGGATAACGCATCTGTTCTGCCTCCTTCCCCCCTTTTTTGCACAAATACCATTTTCCCTTTTGTCTTCCTGAGCGTTTTGGGGGCATACAGATTTTCAGAAGCCAAAATCACAAAAAATAAGAAAACCTCCAACCATTTGCAGCTCGTGCTCACCACCCACCACCGTTAATTATCAAGATTTGAGAGGCAATTTACAAGATCCAATCTGCAAAAACGCTAGTGTGAAAAGTCTCTCAGGCAGATCAAAAAATGTCTACATCACCCCCAAATTAAAGGCGGCAGGTTTAAGATTAACTTCTTATGTGTGGGTCAAGAAAAGACTATAGACACTCTCAGATGCTGTACGTCATACCTCAACCTTCTTCGGAGGTAAAAAAAGGGAAGCTCAATTCCTCAATTCTTAGAATAGACATTTCTGTTGGAAACCCCAAATAATTTTTTTTCTGGAAGTCCATCTATATTGCGCTTTTACGAGCTCTTTCAACACTTCATTAATCCACTCGTCAACCCCTCACTTCTTATTTCTGGCAGTCACATCCAAGGCTGCATCCTTGAAAAAACACATTTTGCTTTCACAGCTGAAAACGAAGCACTTAATAGCAAATGGAGGATCTCCAGTGTTTTACACCAAATGCATGCTAATTCTTCTATTACCAAAGGTGTATTTGTTTTCATCTTTATTGCATTGCAATAATCAATCTTTTGTCTTCTTCAGGCTGCATATACATCTAAAAATTTCCTTCCGTGTTGCCCACACAGGAAATCAGGTTAAAATTTCACAAAGCTCAAGAGATCAAAGCAATGAGCTTCGTGCAATCATGAAAAAAATGTAAGCTACAAAGAAAAAACACACTGGTTCTTCCTATAGTACAATCTAGTCCAGGCAGAATCCAAAGATTTAACTCAGTGCTATTAATGATATTTATATATTGTTGGGTTGGGTTCTTTTCCCCTAAAAGGAAGAAAACAGCAATGTCTTCTGAATTTGCCCTCTGTGAGGGTCACTGGAAGTCAGCACCTGCAAGTCCCAGACTGCGATATCCCTCTTCTTCAGCTACTCTCCACCACCTCTGCCAGAAAAGGTGGCTCTTTTCCAACTGCCAAAAGGCATTTTCGAGCCAAAAAGATGGAGCTTTTGCCTTTGAAGTGCATCAATGGCCTAGGGAGGGAAGGAAAAAAAAGATTAAAGAAAAAAAAATTAAACTCTGTTTCTCCTTCAAATTATTCAAACCGTCACTGCTGGTGAATAGCTTAGTTTTACTGAAAATTAAACCACTGACTTAGTAAATTACAGCAGAATGACAGGTGCAAACATCCTGGAGTAATACTTTGCAGTGGGAGAAGGGGAAAAAGAAAAGGTACGATGAGTGGTGATGCTCTGCTCCTTTGAACCCATAGCCAGAACACGCTTCCCTCTGTACACTGATACTGATATGCCCATGAAATGAATCATTTTCCTCCCTTCTATAACCGTGTTTGTCTCCGTGTTGCAAAATTTCTGCGTTTACGACCA